TCCAACTTTTTTTTTTTTTTTTTTTTTTTTTTTGCGTAAGTGCAAGTAAGTAACAACAATACTTTGGCTGTTTTAAAATCAAGGATTGCATTTCGTTATTACAGCTCAAATAAAATAAAGAGAACTTTATATATCGCTTGCTAACGGATTATCCGTCAAAGTAAATTGATCGGGCAACAGACTGTTGTTCCCTTCTCTATGTAATAGGAAATTCAAACAGTCCCAACCGTGTGTATTCAGACTACAACTTCATTTTGGCTGCCTTACCGTCCGCTAAGTAGAAATCCAGCCACGGCTGCCAGCAGGACAAGCGCCAAAGTGATGGCCACTGCTACTATGGAAGCCTGGGCACGTTCGCTGGTTGCTGTTACTGCCAATGGAAAGAGATAAAGAAAAAACAGGACTAGATATACAAACATATTCACTTGGACCGTGTTACTGATACAGCTTTCAAAAACAGAGTGCAGTCAAGTACAGGTGTGAGGTTTTTGTATTGCCACGCTTGCCCACTCAAGCTTCCACTCTCACTCCCTCATCCAACAGTTCTCTGTGAACTCACAGTAAGGGCTCGTCTGGAATTCAAAACGCCGGCTAAAAGCACCGTAACCTGCAGACGTCCTGGCTCGCACCTGGAATAAACAAGGCACAGGTCTCAACATTGGATTCTCTCAAACAATATACACGACACAAAACCAAACTGTAGTTATTATGATTTACCGTAATACTTTTTGACATTCATAGCATAACATGTACATGCATACGAGAACGCGAACAGTTGAGAAATCCAACAAAATCCAACCACACCGTCAACAAACGGAGCCAATAGACTCTGAAATATAAACGCTTGCTTATCATTTTTTTGACAGTCTCCTGTCTTTGTATTCTCAGAGCTCAAGTGGCCAGGGCAAACCGCTTTTTGGTTAACCAATCATGCCGTGTCAGTTGTGGTTCAAAAAAAGTGCAGTTAATGTGGTGCCATTTTTTTAAATTAATTAATTAATTTTTTAATTTATTTTTTGTGGCTGTCCAGTAAAGTGGAACTAAGAAGGGAAAATGATTATTTGGTGGTTTCTGGTGAACGTGGAGTCCACATCTAAAATAACGTCCAAGACAAAACATCAAGACATTCTTAATCGGACTGCTTTTTGGTGGCTGATTTTAGACAACTACGGTACCAAAAAGTGTAAAATTAATGTCATATTCAAGTTGTTAAATGACGCTGATTTGCACTGGAGAATGCTTTTAATATCCTGACCCTGTCATGAAGCTAAATCAGGTAACGATACGGAAACAGAAACATCTCTCAAGTATGATGCAGTGAAGTTTGGCACGACAAAGAGCAGAGATGATCCGAACTTGATCCAAATACAACTGTGACTGTTCCCAAAGAAAACCAACAGAAGCATGGAGAGCGTATGTGAATTCCACACAAATCAGAGATTTTAACCGCGAACTTTGGGATTGTGAGGCAGATGGGCTTGAAAAAAAAAAAAAAGTGGACCCAGTTTGAAAGCTTCAAAGAAATTGGATATTCTGTGTTTCAGTGTCTTTTCACTATCAACACTCACTTTTAGCCCTTACATAACAGCATTTAATTATGCTATAATTATACTGATATGTTACCTGAACTTTATTTAAACGTTTTACAACAAAGAAAAAAAGCCTGAGAAGGGATTTTTTTTTTTCTATTATTTCTCATGGGGAAGATTCATATGAAGTGTGAACCAATTGATCAGCCTCCTGGAACAGATTGTCTCCTGTCAGCTTCTTTTATTGAGTTCTACTGAGAACACGCTGACTTGAACCCTTTTCCAAATATCTTTGGCTCATATTATTCGTCCAGCACAGTATTATTTCCGAGGGACCATTTGTCTGAGTTATACGTCACTTCGAATAAGCTAAATCTTTGCTCGCGCTTATTCGCCTTGCGTATTTTCCCCTCATGTTTCTTTTTCATGTCATCTCATTATCATTAATCGATGTCTTTATGGATTTTCGAAGCCTGTGTCCAACCTGGAAGATGTAGACTGAAGAGGGTTTGAGACTTTCCACCGCCATCTCCGTCTCCCGGGATTTTATTATCGTGTAGCTAGAGTCCTGCTCCTGTTGGGAGAGAAAGAGTTACTGTGCACATTTCAGACATCTATCTTGTACGACTTTTTTTTTCTTTCCTTTTTTTGGAGCACTCCATAAGCTTTGTTAGAGTGTGTGTTACACCCATGTGTAAGGATCAGTTTCCCAAGTGTAACCTCATCAGGTTTAAACAAGGCTAAATGCCCACTCCATTAGCCAGAAACCATTAGCTGACCGACGACCACAAACCTTGCCTCTCTCTCTCTCTCTCTCTCTGGTATACTTTTATTATGACCTTCTCAGAAAAGAATGCATACAGGGATGAAAGGAAGAGACGGAGAAGGGCGCAAGATCCCCGAACTGAGCTGAGGCGTCAAATTGCTCTCTTTAGCAATGTCCGCCTTTAAAAACAGCTTTGAGAAAGCGAACGTTATAAGCGAACGTTATTTTCACAAGGTGCCATTTCAGTTTATGTTCTGCATAAATGGCAGCGCATAGACTAATATATCAAAGGACGAAAAATACATTTTGTAGAAAACTGGATGTAATTAGGTGTCCATATGTCGACAGCTATCGTGTGGCCAGTGAGAGCATGTTGCATGACAAACATGCACCCAAAATGATCGGTAGACCTCCACCGTTGGACAAAATTGCGGACAGAAATGCGTACAGCATTAGCTTGCTAGCAATACCTTCTCAAAATACTTGATTTCATATTCCAGGATGATGCCGTTCGGTCGGTCCGGTTCGGCCCAGGAAAGTGTGATGCTGCTCTTGCCAGCGTGACCTTTTCTCACCACACTCACCGGGGAAGGTGCTGCGTGCGCACACACACACACACACACACACACACACACACACACACACACACACACACACACACACACACACACTATTAATTAAAACCCGGCAAACACAGAGCTGACATCTGGCAACCATGTGTCATGGCACCTCATCCTTCGTTAATGTTAGGTGTAGAAAATACCGCAAAGGGCCAACATGGCTACGCTGAGATCATTTCAAGACTGTGAAGATCATTCCAACCATTTGTACTGCATTACTATGAGTATATGTCCATTTGACTCATTTCATCCATCATGTGTCCCCCCCTCCCACCACCACGCTCACTTTTCGTATTCAAGTTCCTTTGGGGATGCTTGATTGTTTTCATCCCATCCAGCCAATGAGAGGATTTCTAGGCCAAGGCAGCTCAGCTACAATTTTGGCATTGAGATGCGTGAGAGCCTAATTAAACTATCCAGTTAAATCTTCAGCAATTCAATACGCGCTGGCAGTGGAGAAGGCGAGTTGAACTGCGACTCCGTCAATCTGTCGCAGAGCTGAGGGAACCGCAACACTGCAAAATATTATGAGCAATGCTAGCAGGCTACTTCCTGGTTTATGTAGGGAGATGGAAGAACTTCGAAAGTTGAGCGGTTGAGAATTTGACCCCAAAAAATGAGGAGAAACGTTTGCCTGCGAAATTGCACAAAACTGGAAGTTGAACCGCTGTCATGAACAACGTCAAGCTATCCATTTATGCATTTGTTGTGAATTAAAGGATGCCATTTGTGTTCGATGTCAGAGAACCCACAATATCAAGTTTAACTCACTACCCAACTGTGAGAAAGATCCCTACTACAAATTTTAAAAGAATGCATGCGTACCTGTGCATGCTTTGAATAGCCTCAAGTTGCGTGTGGATAATTTCCATTTCCACACGGGCTTTGAGGAAATTTATTCACAAATCAAGTGAGCTGGCTTGCATGCGTCTGCATCCCTCATTGAGCCATCCTGTTGTAACCTGAACTGCTGGCCCATCTCTCAAAGGGACAGTTGGAGAATCTACGACATAGGAGGCTTTTAACCGGGCAAAATGCTCCCTTTGGCAACATGTGCGTGTGTGTGTGCGTGTGCCTATGTGAGTGTGTCTGTGACACCAAACAACGTTTAGGTTTCAATATTCTCAGTCCACTTCTCCAGGGAATAAATCATTGCTGCAAACACAGTAACTGTATCCTGAGTAGATGGCTTCACAAAAGTCCTTATCGGCAACATCTTAAAAGCCTGAAACCCAAAACCAACACACATGCACACACTCTTGTTTTTAAATACAGTGAAGGCTTGGCTGTCATGATGACAGAGTGGCTTTATTTTATCCTGTAGATTAACCGGCAATAATGCAACAAAAATCCATACATGACAAAAATGGATACATTGCATATGCATATCGTACTACTCTTGGGGACTTGCAAGCAAAAAAAAAAATATATATAATGACAATGAGAGAGAAAATTCTCTCAGACCCTCCAAATGCTGGTCACCACCTCCTTCAGCTTCTTCCCTCAGGTAGGTGCAATCAAAGTATGCACACAAAAACCAGCAGACATTACAATAGCCTCTTGCCTCCCTAAACAGTCCTTTGCCGCTAATCTTAGTTGTGATGGTTTGATGATTTTGCACGTCCCTTTGTGACAGTTCTGGAATATTGTTTATTGTAGCTTCAGCTCTCTACATATTTGTACAACTGTTTTTGACTAATACACTACTCCACGCGCCTGGACACACGCTCAAGGACTTCATTGCACATTTGTCATTTTATCATAATAACTGCGCCACTGATCACTTCAATTTGTGCGCCGGTTGTCCCCTGCGCAGCTGTCATTGCATTGCAATGACTGTAACTATTGCACGACTGCTGATTTATTTTCACTGTGTTTTTGCTTGATGACTCTCCGCATCCCTGTCGTTGTTCGGCGCTAACGGCACACTGACTTTGTATAATCACATAAAAACCCTCTTTATTTATGCGTCACGTCCTGAATGCTCTTATTGTTTGATTAATACTTGCTCTGCAATACTTGAGTGGCTCATAGTACCCAAGACAACATTCCTTTTGACATTTTGGACATTTTTGGCCAATAAAGATGATTCTGATTCGAAGCGACAAACTAGCAACCTCACATATTGGGGCGTAAATAGGGAATTTGGACCCAATCAAACAGCTATTTTAAATCTGGTAGATTCGAGTAGACTGATCTAAGATGGCTATTTCTTGGAATTCAACTTCACCTCAAGTTGCAAGCCACCCTCTACCAAAAGCCTAAAGACACGGCGACAGCTGCCTACTTGACACGTTTAAGTACCTCCGTCTTACAGCGTGATCGGCGCTGAAAATAAAACAGGGAGAACCACTTTCGGTCTGCAGCTTTTGAAAAAAAAAAAAAAAAATCTATTCAGAGCCCGGAACATTTAACTACGGTTTATACGTACACGGAGAGAAATGTTATCAACATGATGAGTAGAACAAAAGTGTGAGAAAGAGAGCTAACCTTTCACAAGAGCCGATTTCATCTTGTTTTCTCGCAAGTTAACTTGCTCTATTTCATACCAATCTCGTGTTTGATAACATCTGCGATGCAACCCTCCCAGACAAACAAGACACTCGAACATCTCTATTTGCAAGGGTATATTCATAAAAGCAATGAAAAATATAAGTGTTAAGAATGAGCAAAGCCAGAGAATGGAAAGCACCAAGTGACACGCTCTGCAAAAGTTCATTTTCAATTCCATCAAGATCCAAATGAAATGACTGGCAACTTGCATTCGCTTGCTCCATTTCGTTGCTTCTGTTCCCTCCTGTCGCTGTCTTTGTTTTGTCCCTTCTCTGCCAATAACTTTCCTCCATCATGTCTAATCTGCCCGTTGGGCTGATCTACATGCTCCTTCCGCATCTTCTGAGTCCCACCTGCCCTTCACCGCCAGCAGCCTCTTCCGCACTCACTCGTGCCGACACTTATTATTCAGCAGGGCTTTACAGGGACACCGTGAAACCACCTATTTATCTGACCCCCTTTATCAAGTATGACACCTCCCACACTTCACACGGCAGATCGACTCTTCCTCTGCCTGTCGGGGTCGGCTCCCGTTGGCCTTCTCTCTTGCCTTCTCTTGCTGGATCAAAACACACGTCCGCGCGACACTGATCACAGTCATCGCGGAGCAATTACATTACAAGGGGTGCGCGTAGCAACTGCAAGCTATGAACAAAATGGACTGAGGATTTAAGGTGAGGCAGAAAATAGGATCGAAACCATGCTGCTCGGCTCGGCGGAGGTAACATTCGTTCCGGTGGCTGTTGTGAGGGAACATCTGGGAAAGGTGGCAGCTGCTTTGCAGCTTTGGTAAGTAACAGAGCTGTCAGCCTTAATCAAGCCATTGAACACAACTCTGTCGGGAAATTATTGTACTGTATTGAATGGCAATGACTACATTTTTGTGTGCTGCGGGGGCATACTAGTGTCTTTCCTCATTGACCGTATGCAACCTGCTGTCATGAAATAACAGGATCATACCATTGGAGTAATCTTCCTCTCCATCTGCTGTATGCAGTAAAGGAATTATTCTTAAACTGTGTGTGTGTGTGTGTGTGTGTGTGTGTGTGTGTGTGTGTGTGTGTGTGTGTGTGTGTGTGTGTGTATGTGTGTGG